CTACTTCAGGTGTGTGTAATGGATCTAAAATATGTGAAAGTCTAATGTTTATCAGTACATTACAGGAAATAATGAACTTTATCACAATATGCTAGTTTGTTGAGAAGGACGTGTACATGTGGATGATACCAGCCGTCCCCTTCAATTCCAATTTGGTTATAACAGCAAAAGGTTGTGCATCATAATGTCTCTGGCACTGTAGCAAGGAGCGGCTCATGCATGAGGATGTGAAACGCTTTCAGCGCCAAGAACTGAAAACCCAAGAAAATGACGAATCCCTTTGAAGCCTGAGGTGGAACAAACGGCCGTACGGCTCAGAGTAATGAAAGAAGAGCGCAGCAGTGATCGAGGCAGGGATGAAGGGTGGAGAAATGAGGAGGAGAAGGTGGGTGGGTGAGCCTTAAATTATTTAGAGACAGAAGGACGGGTTCTCTACTCACCCCTTACGCATCAGCTCAAACACTGTCAGAAACAGGGAGAGAAGGAAACACGAACACGTGAGACCAAACATTTCATTCTTTTGTTCATTCGGCCTGTTTGTGACCGCTGCTGCCACCAGGCTGCGTATTACTCTACAGCCTGACTGCGGCACTGCTGATGGAGAGCTTCTGCACAACGCGCCAGCCCTAAGCAGGTCTGCAGGGAAACGACCATCTCTGAATAAATGACACGTACACTTGTCGGCGCCATATGCATCGAACGCCACAGGCTTACAGACACAGGGCAAGAACAGAGCAAAAGTATCTGGACACATAAAACAAAGACGTGCATACCCATGTGAAGGTTGTCCTCCGATGGATCATCCAGCACCTGCAGCATCAAAACACAGTCAGCGGAAATGGTGAGCAACATAAAAACATTCAGTGCTTTCATTTAAAGAGCTGACAGCATGCATTCACTGACTCACTGCACAACTCGTCTGCTACCATAAAAGCTTCCTGCAACTCTGGGCAGTCAGCAGGTTGAGGAGTTATAATTTAAAACAGTGGCTCAGCGTCATTTGCACAAAAATGATATCTGTGCAGTCGACGCTTCACCAGGTACACAGGCTGACTGAAAAGCTGCGTACACCTTTTCTACTGGACAACACCACGGATGCATTAACGCGGGCAGAGGCCGCCATCGCTGCAAAAGCTGTATTTGACTATTCTTATGACAATTTGGAACAATGCTCCGTGTAGCCTTTTTTAAGTGTTTTAAGGTTGAGCTGTGTACAAGACAGCACAGGTACAACGCGTACCTTTGAAAACTAGTCCACCTTCAAAATGTCAAATGAGCTCAAAGACGATGACAAAGAAGATGTTACGCTGAGGTTTGAGAACGATACGTGAAGACATGATGTTTTTTAAACTATTTGCACGAGCACCAGAATAAAACATTATTCTGACATGCTTCCATTTCACACAATCAGCCAACCTGGCCCCACCCTGCCACCTGATTCGCTGAGGTCAGAAGGCCCAGGATGTGAGTGGGTGGATTGTAGATGGCAGACGGTTGGTGAAACCTTGGCTGATTGTGACCCACACCTGTTTCACACCTTGGCTCGTGTGATTACGTAGAGGATCAATAGGGGGTCCGTGACCCTCTGGGGGGGCCACTCCCACAGGGTTTGAATCTGGGACTTTCCACCAGTTGCTCATCAGTAGAACTGAAGAAGCTTCTGGGATGAAACATCTTCAGCAGACGCTTTTCTTTCCCAGATTAAACTGCGCGTCACCACAGAGCTTTCACGGTACCTGCCTCTTACATCGCTGACGGACTCTATTAGCAACATAACGAGAGCTCAGTGGTGGCAGCAGTACAGGCTTCAGAGGCACGAGGATGGGACGTGCACCCCCCCTGCTGAGCCTTAAAAACAGAAAGGTCAGGCCCAAAAGAAACCCAGCAGCGTCGTGAAATAAAGTTCTGTGGAAGCATGAAAGGTCAACCTCTCTAAAGAGAAATAAATAAATAATAGAAAGTGTGAAGAATTAAAGGAGCGGCTCAAGAGTCACAGCCCCCCCTCGTCTGTCGAACGTAGCGGTGCTATCGCTGAGGCACGCCGGCATCAGCAGCGTGATCACACAGCTGTTCCAGTCTATGTTGACATGTCATCATTCAGAAGGACAACATCACAACGTGGCCGAAGCAGCAACAACAAAGTTTACAGATTTGGGGTATTTTTTATGTGCATCTGTCCAATAACGTTTGGACTCTGGGATACTTGGCAACAGGCTGCAATGAACCCGCGCAGCTCTTTCTATCCTGATGCAACCCTTTCCCAGTAAAGTGAGACGTCCTCTGGTGTGCAGTATCCACCCCAAAATCTGCGATGTGAAGATTTGAAAGAGGAGACCACAAACAATGCGTCAGTGCAGAGAGTGACATTATTCACTGTTGACAGAGGGGAAACAAACAGCCTCGGCTCGAGGACTTCGGTAGCCCTCTGTGCTCACAGCTAGCAGCTTGAGCTGACATTAGCTGGTGCTAATGGTCTTTTATTGCAGCTAACAGACATTTCTCATGTTGACTTGTCACAGCAGGCAAAGGTTTATTAATGGTGCCTGCATTCCTCTTATGGAAGTTCTTCTGTTTGCACACTACTTCAATATAATGGCAAACTGGGACACTTTAAACAGCCGTACAATCATTAGTTCCTCACTGTGACCAAAATGTCTATCAGGCTCGAAGCAGCAGCAGGAAGAAAAAACAGAAGAAAGAGGAACGCTTGCATCAGTGCTGATTCAATTATGGCTCGTGAGATCGATGTTAATATTAAACTTTAGTGGAGATGTTCCCAGAAATCCAACAGCTGACACAGCAAGGATGCAGACTCACGATCCGGACTCGGCCATGAAGACAAGCAGAGCCGCAGTAATTTCACCTGCAGTCTGTGTTTAAACAGAAATCCACAAGTTCTTGGTTCACCTTTTTGCCCCGCGTGTCTGCCCGCCCCCCAGGCAGCCCGCGACTGTGATTTGGTGCTTTATACAGCGGGCAAGTAAGTACTGAACACCTGACCAAGTAACTCGGTCTCTAATAGTGTTATTGACATGAAATTCTCACCAGACGTCGGTAACAACATATCCAATCCACACGTTCAACGAGTGGGATACTGAGAAATGACAAAAGCCACGACACCAGCTGAGATCTGGCAGTAGTTACAGGGTGTCCTGCCACTCGGTGTGAATTAATATCAGCCGGTTCAGTCCCTAAAGCTGCGTTATTAACAAGGTGTCCCATAAGACACACGTCATGATGGGTAAAACCGACGAGGTCTCCTTTGCAGCCTTATTGTTGAAGCACACTGATGAAGGTTGCAGTCAGCACTCTTGGGACTATGCAAAAGATTTCCAAGTGTCCAGGTGACGAGGACCACCTGTGCAGAGCTACAGAAAGAATCAGTAAGTTCAACTGCTTCAAAGGAAACGATGAAAATGCGCTCAGCCCCTGTGACCTGTGCGCTCACCACTCAGGAGAAAGCACGCTGAAGCACGTTCAACGTTTCCTGAACAAACACCTCAAACACCAACAGTGGCGTTTGGAGGTGGGAACCATCATGGTGACGGCTTCATGTGGCTCTGGCACGAGTTTTGTAATTGAAGAAAGGATGAATGGAAAAACGTACCGAGACATTCTGGTAAAGGTTTGCTGCAGCCTATGAAGATGAAACGAGGGTTGGACATTTCAGCGAGACAATGACGTCAAACACAAAGCCAAAGAAACTCTCAGCGCGTTCCAGGGAAGGACAGCGACGGCCCAGCCAATCACCTGAGCTGAATCCAAGTCTGTGGAAAGAACTGAAGCTCAGAATTGATAGACGGGAAACTTTGTGTGGAAGAATGGGCCAAAATCACACCTGAGTAATGCACGCGACGACGTCCTCCAACCAAGAACACGTCAGCCAGCGTGCTCAATACTTTTCTCATTATTACACATAATTTATGGATACCTGTGGATATGTTGCTGCTGCACGTGGGAAGAACTTCATGTCAGTGGCACTTTGAGGTGTTCAGTACTTACCTGCAGCCCCGAATCACAACAACACTCAGCTCAAGCTGCTTTGTGTTGTAAAGACTTTACAACAATAACTGACAAACCCTCAACAATCATAAGCAAACACTTGGTGACATCGGGAAGGAAAAACTGGGAAAGCGTTCAATACTAACTTTATCTGCTGTAAATTGAATTGGACAAAAACTAAAGGTGAAAGGTCGCCATGGCATCGAGTGTCACGACAAGTGCAGGACACAGAAACAGGAAGGCCTTTTACTCGTGAATGTTTGCTGGCACCAACTCAACACTGCTCTTCTCCCTTTACATGCAGTATTTCACATCATGCTCCTGATTACAGAACAGAGAAGCTCCGTCTTTTCATCGGAAGTAAAAGTCTGATTTTATGGGTTCGGTCTGACTGTTTCCAGCCTCTGTGACAAATGACCGCGTCGTTTTCATCGTTGCCAATCTGTTCCGCTCAGTGTGGCCTGTTTTCATAATTAGAGAGACCGGACTGCAGCTCACAGAGCTGCGATGCCGACCCGAGCACAGCCCGTTTACATGGATGAAGAGCGCGAGAGCAGCTGTCCCGTTACCAGCAGACGCCCACAACGAGACGGAGAAGGGAAGTACTCAACTTTCACTTAAACTCTATTTCTGACACACACACACACACACACACACACACACACACACACACACACACACACAGCATCACTTTTTCCTTCAGCAAATGATCGATTTCTTGGTTTCTGGCCTGTTCCTCCACTGCACAGTCGGCACCTATCGTAGCTCCTTTTGTGTCTTCTTACTTTTAGTTTCTAATATTTTGGTTTTTAATACAAAAAGTCAAGAGATTCACAGTAAATGACAACTTTTTATTATTTTACCTGCAGTCAATCGAGCACAGTTGTTGAGGCAGGCTGCACTGGGTCATACCCAGCACCGCTGCTACAGACGTTCAAGTCCCAGGATTAATCTAAAAAGACTTTTTTTACACTAAAGAGGATTTTAAATTTATAAGTGCATGATGCAGTCTTCAACAGAGAGCAATGATTCTGACATTCAAAGAAAGACATTTTTTACAGTTCAAAATGCTACTTTGGACCCAGCTTTACGATGATAAGTCCTGATGATTGTACGTGGACCAGTCAAGCTGACGCCGTGACTTTGCCACTAAAAGCTGGAAAATACTACCATTTGACTAATTGGCAGCATTAATGCATCCCGGAGTCAAACAGCAGTTAATCGACTAGAACTAATGCGTGGCTTCACCTCTGAAGTGCACCAACAATTTATCTTCCTGCTCAATAACCCCTCACCTCCACCAGCTTGACGATGTTGACATGGTCCAGTTTTTTAAGTATGGCGATCTCTTGGTAGACTCTTTCCAGGGGTCCTAAGAGTTTGGGCTGCTCCCCCTGGGCCGCCTTTGGTCCTCTTGGGGGTGGGCGACCTGCACACCACAACACAAACCGCACACCGCCGTTAAATCATTCATGCGATCCCCGATGAGTCATGTTTGGTGTCCTTTTTAAAAAAAACAAAAACAATCAACCAAAATAAATTAGTGCTAAAAACATGTTGGTGCATGCTAATTAATCTCCCTCTGCCCATGATGTCGGTGAATCTATGAATGCATCATGCTTTTTGTCTGTGGCTGCATTAAAAGCCGTGTAATTCCATACACATCATTCTGCAGCCTGTCTTATTTCACTCAGGACAACCTAAAGCCATCTACGCTCTGACTGTATGACCTCCTTCATAGAAACCTTGGATCAGCAGAATTCAGCGCACAAGATCCAGACGACCCTGCTGAAGCTCAAACGGAGCCTCAGAACGGGGAAGGAAGGCGATTTAAGTGACTTTAAACGTTGTCGGTGCCAGATGGGTTGGTCTGAGTCACAGAAACTGCTACTGCTCAGATCTTTATTGGACAACCACCTCTAGGGTTTACAGAGAAGGGTAACCAAGGCATGCAGAGGAGCTTCTCTGAACGGACAGCCTGTTGATCTTTGAAGCACCGCAAGACAACAGGGGGTTCAATTTGCTCCAAGTCTGATCAGACTTCTGCTCTGACATTCAGACGGTAGAATCTGGCATGAACATCCTGCCTGTTTAACCACTGGCTGCTGGTGGTGCTGAGCATCCCTTCATGATCACAGTGATCGCAGCTGCTGACAGCAGGTCAAACCTCAAATCATCTCAACCTAGTTTCTTGAGCGTAACAGTTTCTTACTCAAATGGCCTCCACAGCCACCGCACTTCTATCCAACAGAGCAACTTTGGGACGTGCAGCTGTCGTTTCAGTACGGCCCAAATCCCAGAGCAACGTTTTCTACCGTGAAGGATTAAAGTCCTGAAGACTAAAGGGGTCCAATCCTGTACCTAATGAAGTGGCCATACATATAACGGGTTGCTTTTGGGATTTCTCACTGGCTTACTCTGTTTTCTCTTTGAATCTAGGCTGATCCACTTTCTTCAGCTTTCCTGGTCAACAGAATGAAAAGAGAAAAAGCAGAACTCACGAGGAAACCCGCACTGCTTCACCAACTTCTTCTTGGACACCAGCTTCATGGCCTGAAAGTAAAAAGTTATTTAGCGCACGAAACAATGATGTTTGCAACAAGCAAAAAGGCAACGCATCAGAGAGGGAAGCACACAAAGCCAAGAACGTTAACGTATCGCAGCCAGAATCATCGTGTGGACGCCGCCTTCGCCCCAACGTGCACAAACATCAAAGCAGGAAATTCTCCTTTGTACGAAGTGAAGGCGGCGTTTCTCAGCAGATCTGAGGAATCTTTCATGGAAAAACCAAGCGGCTCCTGGAGCACAGCTGAGTGTGTGCACGTCGTGTCGCAGTGATCCTGGCCTCTTGTAAGGAACTGGTCATGCAAAGGAAAAGGAAAGTAATAACATTCACTGCATGTTTCTCTAACAGACACTCACAATATCAATGTGAATCCACTGATTCGTAATTTGTGGCAGGAGGAACATTTTCTGCTATTTCTACACCACAAACTGTGACCCTGATGAACAGCCTGCTGGTTTCTTGTATAACTGGTCGCCATGGCTCTGACTGTGCACAAACGAGGTTTGGCAGAAAAGAAGATCCTGCGTTGTGCACAGTTACATGGTGTTCTGCCTGTGCGTAAACACACAATCAAAATGTAACGCGAGCCTGGCTGAAGATGGACTGTGCACTGAGGCGGCAACGTGACTCATGTGTGGCGCCGATCAAAGGAAGCCAAAAGTGCGTCAGCAGCAAATAGATGTAGTAGGAGGTGGATAAGAAGGTTCAAATGACTTAAGGCATCGTATCGTTCCCATTACTGCACCACTGAGCCTGCTGCAGAGCCTTCAGCGCTCTGATCTGTAGGTTTTTCAGTAAACACGTTAACTTTGCTAACAGATGAAATAAGAAGAGCAGAAAGGTTGGATCAGGTCATCTTTACTGACAGGCTGGATGAGCTGCAGGGCAAACTCCACTTTCTGTGCAACATGCTGGAATTTGATGAAACAAAACCTGAATTAGCAGCATGCACCACGTAATATTCACTGACACCACTCACAGCTTTGTTTTTGCACATTTCTGGACTATGGGCACATCACGTGTTTGGGTTCCTGCAGTTTTCCCTCTGTACGCCACACCAATGGGTTTTATATCAAACTACAAGTACGTGACTGAAGTGAGACTTTATTTCACTTTAAGGGTTTAATAAAAGTGCTGCATGAACCCTTCAGCAATTATAAAGGCTTCAAGTTCATTGGACAACTAACAGAATGTCAAACATGGAGACTGCTGTGATCACCAAACGCTGCATTTGACCCTGACATGCTGCAGAGTTCAGTCTCATCCTCAGTGAGGACGAGAACACTTCAGCATCTGTAACCTGCAGCTGATGTCACCGTGTTGGTCCTGAAACGCCAAAATTTAAGTTGGACCAGGTTCAGTATCGACCAATCACATTGTTGTGATGTCATAGTTCTGCGACATGGAAAAAGCAAAATACAAAAAAGTGAGGTGGGGGTGAGGGGTGGAGGTGTGGGGGTCAGGGGGCTAACGTTATGGTTGTGGGGTAAAGGAACAACAATTACGTCATCGTTTGTGGACTTGATGGATTGGTGTACGACACAGTGACATCATATTACGCAGCTTATTTTTCTTTCTGTGTCACGGAAACACAAACAACAACAAACTGGAGCTTCCGCTGCCTTTAGTCAAATCAAATATCTGTTAATAATTAGCTCTTCAAATTCACTGCTCCCAACTTCCAGGCAGGAAGTTGCTTCGCTTTGGCGCCCTGACAAACAGCATCGCCACATTCGGATTCCTGCCCATCAGGTGTGGAGCACAGCGATTATACAGAGGACACACGGTGCTGCAGAAACATACACAAAAAATGCAAATCCTATGACACAGTTTGTTTTCTGCATACTGAACATCAGGTACATGATGCATTTACTTCCCTTTAAACTGACCACGGCTGATCACGAGTGCAAACACTTCGTTGTCCTCAGCGACAGCGCGTCCTGTTGAGATGTGATCTGTCCTCTGTGAAGCGAGTGACGTGTGCATGCTGTACGTGGGCTTGGACATTCTCCATGAAAAATCCAATCAGTTTAATGTTCTGCCAATTCAGACTGCCAGGAAATATAATCACCCTTCATGTCACCATTACTCATCTCCTCCTCTTTTGATTCCCATCATTGTTATTTCAGATGCGCCTCCCGTGTGAGCCAGTCTGCATCGGCCCACAGCGCAGGAAGCGCTTCCATCAGTTTCAACAATCAGAGTTAAACACGAGAAGCAGTGAATTGCAGACGTGTGCAACAAAAATTAGACCTTTCCCACACGTATGTAGAAATCCCGCCGGTACACGGGAAGCTTTTAATTCATTCATTTTTATTTATTTTGAAGAATCAGACGGCCAACGTGTGATAATCAGAGTCTGTTTCAAACACGTTAGTCGTGCTGGTCCCGAGTGTGAGGAGTTAACACGAATCTCAGTTACCAATACAGCTCCAGTATCATCACATGCAACTGCAGACCGGCTCCGTCTTCAAAGCAAGCGCTTGTTAGACGTCGAGTTCACAGGTTCACACAGTCAGGGTAGTTTTCAGGAGGCTGGACACAAACTGCAGCTCTCCACACTGGACATTGTTTAAAACTGCATTTCATTACGTCTCAAGAGCCACGTTTGAGCACTGCCTTGTTTGACTATTTTCCTTGTTGTATAGAGCTCGCCTGTGTCCTTGGATAAACATCCTGTTCACTACCATGCAGCACCAGGACAAACTCCTGACTTGTGTTTAGCAGTGAGCTGCTGCTGCCTCTGGTTCAAAAGTACATCTCAAACCGTCGACATTGATCCTGCTGCACAGGGCAGCTTAGTTATGTTAAGGTAACAGCTTACACTTGGAGGGACACCTGGCAGGAACGGCCCAAAACAAGCTCGTGTTTGTGTGCTGGCTCGATGCAGACTCTGCTGGTGAACTGGCCACAGAGCAGAGCTGCTTTGAAGGGAGATAAAAGGGCCTGAGATGCACTTTAAATGGCAGCAGACGCCACTCTCACTCCCAAGTTTCTTCCACAGCAACTGATGCAATTTAAGGGATGAAATTCACAACAAGGAGAACAAAAATAAAAGAATCGATAGCACCGGTCCTCGGTGGAGGCAGCAGACTGAGAGAGGCTTGATGAAAGCTTAAAGGATGCTGACGGTAAAACAAGCTCCCACCAAATAACTTACATAATGTTTGTCATCATCTTCATTGTAGGCAAGTTTTACCACACCATAGGAGCCCTGCAATACAAAAACAGAACAACACATTTACAGGCAGACCAGCCGAGCATTGCAAACATGAAATCTCTACTTTGAGTTTGTAGTTTCAGCTTTGCACCGAAACAAGAGCAGCTCGTGAGCAGGACTGCTCAGAGAATCTGTTCAGATTCCTAAAGCATCGCTCGGAGCAGACGGCAGCGCCACACTGACAGAATGTTTTCGAGGCAGCACCGTTTCCACTGAAAGACAACATTTTTATTCTCTGGCAGCACAGAATGGGTCCTCCCACACACACGCTTCCCGAGGATGTGTGTTTAGTGCCAGCGCTCTGCACCGAGGAACCGACCGAATGTTCAGAGAGGTTCAGTAATCATATATAGACTCTGATGCCCGGACAGCTTAAAGGCGCCACTTACTCACTTATTTGTTCTCAAAAGTTAACAGTCAGGACTTTGATGCAATCCACTGTAATACGCACCGCTGCAGCTGCAACTGACGTTTTTCTCATTTAATATGCACAATTTTACTGCTCGCTGCATTTTACAGTGCAACTGTGAGTGAAGCTTCCTGCTTGTAAACTTGGACGTGTGGCCTGCAGCTGAGTCGCATATAAAGCACGCAAAGAGAATATACAGCAAATATCAGTCTGACAGTATTTGTTTCCCTCTCTAACCTGTTTGAGACGGTTAGCCTCGCCGGCTACAATGCGCACTTCACACAACTGGATTTGGTTTTTCAGTTGTACCTCTGCTCTGTTCCCAACACGACAAGTTCCTCCAAATCCAAATCACAACAGTGTTTCTCTTTCTGTGCAACCTGAAAATATCGACGCTCTTATGTTGCATTTACATGCATTTCTGCTTCAAAACACAAACACCTGAAAGCACTTTGATTTTTGCTGTGTGCTTTTGTCATATCAGGGTTTATTATCAGGGTATCAACAACCCATAAGTCTGACATCACTTTAATCTGAGCTTAAATTCATTTTAGGGGTCATTATAGGTCCTTCTAGGCAGTCGCCTTAGCAACGTGTCTATAAAGCAGATGTCTGGTTTTAGGAATAATTGAATGACATTCTGGGATGTGTAGTAATCAGGATACTTTAACCACCCAGTCTCTCCTTTACAGCCTCTTTGTTTTTGCTTGGACAGTCCTATTATGCTAACATGCTAAAGCCACTGTGGATCTGCTAGCAAGCCAATGTTAGCGGTTATCGACAAATACTGCAGCGCTTCAGTACAACAGTGCTAGTCTGTGACTTCTCCATGAATCTGTGGTCCAGTGTTGGCTTCAGGCATTTGCTCACCCTAAAGCTCCATCCTCCTCCTGCTTTACGGCTCTCGTCTAATAAATGAGTAAAGGCTTTAATGACTTCATCCCATAGCAGCTGGGTCATTTCTATATTCTGACTGAACGTCTTTGTGCAAACAGAGAGTCGTCCCTGTTGGCTATTAGAAAAAATGGGCTGTTTGCAGCACTTTGGCTTCACAAATTTAAATGTTTTTCTTTGTTTCTAAAAAGCTGTAAAAGACGACACAGCCGAAATGTACAAATATGGAGGATAAAAAAAATGTAATGGCCCTCCTGGGCTGTGATGCACCAGCTGAAACTGGGTTGTGCAGGCCTTTGGTTGGTGATGCAACATCCAACAACACCCAACCACAAATAAACCCACACGTGGTCAAATTTAGGAATGTACAGAACAAAATGAAAATGGGCCACGCTCTGCGCTGTCCATTTCCTCACATGCAGCCCGACCTGTCCTCAGTTACTGCTGCTTTGTAAACTGAATGGAGGCCAAGGGCACGGATGGTACTCACCTTTCCAATCTCACTCTTCAGCTTATACTGGTTCAACTGGATACAGTCCTGAGAAGCAAGCAAAGCAGACAAACATGAAAAATCAATAAGGAATCATTTCAGCATCTAAAAGCAAAAGAAGAAACAAAATGTTCTTCCTGCTCGTGTGCTCACACGTGCACTGAAAGTTATTTATTCCTGACCGTAGGTGACGATGCAGTCTGCAGTGTGTTTACCGTCTGCAGATCCATTAGTGCTACTGCTTAAACGGCTGATTTGCAGTTCCATAGCAACCACTGCTACAGCAGAGTTAGCCAGGCGCACGGCACAGGAGGGGAGGGGGCAAGGTGAGGGTTGGGGGTGTGGGGACAAAGGCTGTGGAGTCAGTAATCAAAAGGTGATCACTGCTCTGTGTGTGCGTGTGTGCGCGTGTGCGTGCGAGAAAGCAGTCGTTTTATTTCATTACAGCTGGGGGGGCGGCGGCTTGTGAGCGAGCCCAGTCGCCCGAGGCGTGTTTACAGAATGAGAGGTGGTAGCAGAACACGGATGTTAGCGTGCAGGACGAAAGCACCAGCTCACGCTGCAGGACGGGACAGGCAACGTATTTTAGAAAACGTTATAATGTGGGTTAATATCACTGCTGGTTATGTTAGCGTCGGCACGGCAGGAGATGTGAGGCTGATGCGCTGCCGCTGTGCAGCACTGTGGACTATTATGAAGGGGACAGAAGACTGAGGCTTGGGTACAACTCAGAAAAGGAGTGCTGTGATTGGCTGAAGAGAGATAAAAAGACAAAATGAAAACAGGGCAGTCAAGGATCAGAGGGAAAATGAAGAGATTCCAAAGAAAAGAGCAGCAGGAGGGATTGTTTTGGATTCCCAGCTCGCTGGCACATGCTCAGTGGATGCAGCGCTGCAGTTAATACTCTGTCAGGGCTGATGGAGAAACAGGGTCATGCAGAAAGCCTTAAATACATCTGCCACTCATGCACATATCAAGCTGAAATGCTCCACTGCCCCACGCTAAATCTTTAGAGGGGGGCTGTCACCGTACACTCACACGGCTGCCCCAGCTGTCATCGGTTTCCCTGCAGACCTCAGCCTGTCCTTCGTCATCTGCATTCATTGCTAAACAGCTGATCAATATCAGTGCATAACAAATACACACTCGAAATCAATGACCAGGCATTAAAAGTCAGCAGCCTGAGGACGTAATATTAAAACCAAAAGGAGAATTTGTCAAACAGCATCCGAAGCCTGAAGGTACAAAAATCCATTTTACAATCTGTTTGGACAAAACTGCAGATGAGGTGAAGCGAGACGAATTTAGAGTAAGAGGGTTTATTCTGCGTTGGTTCTTTACTCCAAGCTCCCCCCGCTGCTGCATTAACATCATTAACGTACATGTAGTCATACAAGAAAGCAGCTTTTATGGTAATCTGGTGTAAAAGCCTGCAAAATGCATCACGCTGCACAGACAAACACAAGCAGATACTTAGCAGCAAAGGACTGCCAAACTCCATCCCGAGAGTCACGTACAGTTTCCACTCACGAATCCAGCACGCGGTATTCCTGCTTGGAAACATTTTACTGGGGGGCATTTAGGTTAGCATGCACTGTTGCCGGGTGCATTCATCTCATTGCATCAACTCTTCCAGCAGACTGGGTCGGTGCATTAGTTTCCTCCTTTTACTGCAGTCAGTGTAATTGCATCTCTAGGCCCACAGACACTCATGTCACGTACAATCACACCGTCTCACAGTAATGCCTGTTTTTGTCCTTACTGTTGATAGTGTTCTTCAGACCCTCCAAACTTTAAAACACAAATCATTCTCTTAAAAGTTCCCACGGTGCACGGGGAACACATTCTGAACAGACTGCAAGTACAGAGAGAAAAGACAGCAGGAGGAAGGTGACAACCTGGTGACAACGTTTCATCATCTGACTTAATGCAGGACTTCCTAATTTACCAACAGACGTCTTTTTTTGAAGTGGAAATAACAGGATGTAGATTTTAGACAACCTCTTTCATTTGGCTCATTCTGATAAGCCTACAAAGGTGTTTGCTGCGTCTTCCTGTCTGCTTTTACCAGTCGTAGCAAACCTCTCTCCCACCCTCGTTCTGCACATCCAGCGCGAACGCTGAAATACGAGCAGCACGAGCCCTTTTTCATGGTTCAGTGCAGGAGCTGCAACTCCATTTGCAGATAGGAATGGACACAATGACAGGTCTGCGAGGCTGTGGCAGCAATGTGATGAATTCAGAGGGGTTTCCTGTACTGGCAGCTGTCATAAATATTTTATGTTCAATCTGAATTGGAAAAAGCAGAGAGGAGACTCGAGAGTCACCCAGAGCCACACGGCACTGGCAGCCGGCCTAACAGACTATAAAGGCCCCGAAATCACAACAGGTGACAAATAATGAGAGTCAACACTGTGAGACACAAAAGCATCACTGCTGTCAGAGACTCAGGTTTAAGCTGCTTTCTTTCACATTTCAAGACACACGCGCACGCATGCACGCGCGTGCACGCACGCACGCACGCGCACACAGAGCTAGCTTGATTTTATGCAAAGCTAACTAGTACAGGCAATTATGTGTGCAGCCATTTCCTCAGGATACGTGACTTTGTTAACTTCAATTAATAAAATACACCAAGCAGCGAAAGCTGTTGTGGCCCCAGAGGCAGGACTTTCCTGACATGTGAGGCTCAATTTATGCTTCAGCAGGAAATTTACATTCTTAGAGATGTAACTGCAAATCCCTTTGAAACCACGCGACTAACCTTCAGCATTGGTTCAGACTTGCAGCTCTGCAGAAATGTAGCCACACATCGCGCTGACCCAGCCTGCAGCTGCTGTGATTGGCCAGCTCAGTACCTGTTCAGTAGTTCCTGTATGTGTCCAGTTACAGAAGTGGAGCTGGCACCACATATGATACACTGGTACACAATGACATGATAATTAACACACACCGCACCAGCATCAAGGATAAATTCCACCGACGAGTGGACGACTGCTACAAAGACGCCCCACAGAAATGTAAATCAGTCGTTACACACTAGATGCAAAACTGGTTTTGATAGTAACAACATGCACTTTAAACAGATTCATTAGCTTCCATTGTTTGTAACAGTTAACCTTTGTGCTCTTCTCCATTCGCACTGAATGTACCAGACGTGAAGCAGCAGCCGCCGTGTGCATCACTGCAGGTTTGCTGCTCACTCGTACGTCCCTGAAGCTCCGGGAAGAAGACAACGAAGCAGGTCGTTTGCAACCTGAAGGTTTCTGTAAAACAGCACGACGAGCCTTTGCCGTGCCTACACAAATGTGAAACCACAGAGCGTAAAAGTGGGGTCTTTGAGGCCGAGGCTCGACATGCAGTGCACACACGGGTCACATGTTTAGCTGCTCCCAGGCTGACCCTACGTCTCCTCTGGTGCATTCAGCAACACGACGCAGGCCTGAAAGCACGTCGTGTCCATCTAATCTGATGAAATTGCTTCTTTTTTCCTGCCCCAACACTCCAACATATTATCACAGCACACGTGGACCAGTCCAGACTACATTTCAGGGACAAAGCTGGAACACTGTCGCACTCACACACCGCCTGTAATAACAGACGCACCATCCTACAGGATGTGCTGGTGGTGTCTACTTTTGACAACTGCTGTCATGAGCAGGACAAGCTGCCGTCTGTCAGCGTGCACCTCACTCCCTGCTATGATGCCACCTGTCACACCCAAATTCAGAAACCCACTATCCCAAATCAGCAGCTGTAGATGGCAGGAGAAAAGACTGCATGTGGGCAGGAGGTGGTTAGCACCTAGCTTCATGTCTTTAATGAACCTCACACTGGTACTGCTGCGCTGTGAAAGGAAACGTCACATATTTACACTGAAGCTGAAAGGCGATAACAATCTCACCTGGGAGTCAGATATGGACACCCGTTTACTCTCCACAGTAGGCCTGCGAGGGGAGATGTGCGTCCTCTCCTGCAAAGACAGCTTCCTCCCAGTCAGGTGAGGCCGCGTCGGAAGAGGCCGCTTGGCCTGAGCCACGTCCTGCTGGGAGCCACCGTTCTTCGCGCCGCTGGCGGCTGAGCCATCCGAGTCTTTTGTTGTCATGGCGGCCATGATGTCTGTGAGACCGCTGGTCTGCGTAGAAGAGTTCGGGTCCAGCCTCTCACAGCCAGCGTCACGGCTCATAGCCATGATGGCTCAAGACGTGGGAGCTGTGGAGAAGCAGGTGGCAGGGAGAGGAACAGGCCAGTGCCCACCAGCATCAATGTGGCCTGGGCCAGCGTGCAACGCTCAGGGTCTCAGCGGCTGGAAAGACAGAGACGGGAAAAAGACTGAGCTCAGTGACATGCACTATGCATGCACCTGGTTTGCTTTAAGGATGATTCACTCTCTAATTTATCTCTGCTAAATGAATCTTCAATCTGTTTATTCGCCAATATGCTGCCGAGAGGAGTTAATAAAAATGCATCTCCATAAGCATTTGCAAGGAACTATAAGCATTTGTCACATCACATGTTCATATATTCAGAACAGGAATCCACGTTCTACCTTTGACTTCTACCTGCAGACTGTTGTCTGTTAAACACATTCAGATCTGCACGACAGGTCAACACTAAACGGACTGCTGCCCCTCACACCCACATTCACACGAGCACCTCCAAGTGCTTTCAGTCTAGCACTCACACTCCGATGGATGCGTGCGTGAGCGTCTTGGGGGTCGGTGTGTTGCCACAGGGACACTCTGGCCTAGCAGAAGCCCTGCTCTGCCTCCTGAGCTGCAGCCAGCCCCGTGTGGTTGGTTCAGCTTGTTGACCTTATCCACAAATTAAGAGCTACAATGAACTGATACCAAATGCAAATTCATTTATGAAACAATATGGAAACTGGCCATAAACAATCCAAAGGCTTTAATTCTAAATGGTTAATGAAGCATTGTTGTTGAGCCTCTTGAATTAACGATGAAAGTCTGCATGCTAGTCCCTTTTTGGCTGCTGAAAACTTTAGAAACAAGCCTTCTCACAGTCTTAGTAAAGGGAGCCGGATTATCAAAGATTTCGGAGGCTGCTGAAGGTTTGCACGAAACACGGCTGCAAACCAAACGCTTAAACGTAATCAGTCAGTTCAAAGAGGAAATGTCATCTCTGCGTGGGCGGGTGGCCTGGTGGTTCATGAGCCTACAAATTCAAATTAATGTCTTCATTAGAAAACCCAACCCTGTTAGTGAAAAGCCTTATTATGCTTCATGCTTTCAGTCAGATGCATGTAGGCGGACCCAGGCAAAAAATGCAAACAGACAAAAAGACAGACAAAAAAAAGACTGAATGCTTTGTGTGCATAACCACACATTTTAGTGCAATTTGTTTACTTTGCGTTTCCTCTTTCATCTCTAATCAAAGTCTCACCATTAGCAGCAAACAGAAAATAGCTCCCCAGTACACCCGGCTCAGGTTTTGTTCTGCGCCTAGCCCGGCCATCGAAGCTAAAGGGCACGTAGCCGTCAAACACCATCTATGAACAGCAGGAATCAAGAGTGCTTTCATCCTAAATGGACCACCTGGGTCTGTATGTGTGCTGTGAAAAGACACAGTATGAGGAAGTCACATCTGAGGTGTTGAGTAAATGGGCCGTGTAATGCTATTCCTGAAGTGTGTCAGGAAGGTAGAAGCTTCATAGTCAAAAATAACACCGTGTTCCAGTTTGTCCAGGTGTGTCTTACTGGTTCCTGTCATCCCACTGCCAGGTCTCAGTTTCAGCCGCTCAGCACTAACGCATAAATTAGCGGGATGGCAGCATCACTTTGTTGGTTCATCACTTTGGTTCAGACCCTGCGGTCTTTTTTACCACGGGACTGATGCGGCGCTTTTGCATCAAATAGAAGCTATTAGCTACCGAGCTGACAGTGCTAACGTCTATTCAATGCAGCTTTATTTACAAAGCGCCGGGTGCTTTATATTGTAAGGTACCCAACCACCATATGACCCCCTATGAGCAGCACTTTGGCGACAGTGGGAAGGAAAAACTCCCTTTTAACAGGAAGAAACCTCCGACAGAACCAGGCTCAGGGAGGGGCGGGGCCATCTGCTGTGATTGGTTGGGGTGAGAGAAGGAAGACAGGATGAAGACATGCTGTGGAAAGACAGTTGTGCACATACAAGACTTGTTTAAATTTCAGAGATGTTACACTAGTTCATTTCCTGTTTGTCAGGGTTTGCGACACGCGTCCTAAAGCAGTTTTAGCTACTGCAGCAACCTGAGGGCTTGATGACACGTCAGCACGACGTGACCACACGAACATCATTCACAGGTAATGGGATTCGTTTTTGAATGCCTTATTCCATCTTTATACTCCGGGGATTGGAAAGCATCCTTAACTAACCTCCTAATTCATCACAATTCAGGGAAAGTGAGACGACCGCAGCCGGTCTCCAAAGAAAACAACCCGACCGGAACATTTTGGGAGTTGTGTTTGGGAAAGTAATTTTTCCCTGCAGCATCAGTACAGTACACTGGATCCTAGGGACCCCCTACGTGGACTCCTCTGTAACAGTCACTATTCATGAAAAAGTATGAATGTCAATGACGTCTATATCGATTTAGCATGTGTCAGGACCACTTTGCACATTAGAATTTACCCTCTTCTATTTGCATATTTCCAATGCTGATTATTCATGCTATGTAAATTGCAAGTACTGGATAAGAAAAAACAACCTTTAAACTGGCAGCAGAGATGGGAGACGCATTGTGTGCCTCCTGACTCATTTGAGAAAAACAAAAAGGATCTGTCATATTTTGCTTATTTCTTATCGCAGCCAGTGATTATGTGTCTCTTGAAACGGGTTCTTTCCACTGCAGCAGCATTCAACACGCTGCATGTGTGAGCCTGGCAGAAGTGGGAGGCAGAGGAGAAGCAGTGGTCTGGTTATTCATTTTAGCTGCACTGCGACTTATTTGTTCACAGAGGCAGGTAACCGCACATTTACGTAACGCAGGACAATATGCTGTTAGGTTTAATGTTTCCTCTCATTCATCTCAACAGATAAATGCTTAAGAGGACAGGTTCTCCTCTTCACAGCACAGCTGTGAGACGCTGTGACCGCCACACTGACAGGTCGAGGTTCCTACATATTATTTAATTTTTTCAATTTCATCTTTCTGAATATTGCAAATTCTTTCTCTCTGGTACAAGAAAATCCGATCTCTCCTGCATGGTCAAGCCACAAAGACGGACACAGCTAAAGTTGAACCCCAGGAAGCAAACGAGACATGTCTATATACTGCAGGTATAGAGTTACTGTAAGATGTGGGGAAGAAGAATGACATATCTGGTTCTGCTGCATCAGTTTCTATTGTTTTAATACTGAGAGCAACAATGTAGGAACGACATGCTGAAAATTCTCCTTCAAAGCGTGATGTCACAAAGCGGCGTGGACACTGTCCAGTCCAAATAAAGAAATTCAGGCCGATCTCTTTGGTCATGGCTTCAAAACTTTGTCTTTTGTTGCACAGCGCAAGAGCTTCACAGCTGGCCGCAGTGCTCAAAGACAGCCTGGGACCAGATTCTGACCAGAAGTTTGGATCAGCATCTCCCAACCAATGGGAATGCACCATGAAATGAGGTACTGATTACCACTAAACCAGCTATTATTGTGAAAACTGTGCAAAGCGTGCAGTTTGTAAATCCTTCAGTAAAGAAAGTCAAACTGCAGCAGCGACTCTGATGACGTCACACCGTGAACAAGCCGAGCATGGAAGCGATGCATGTAGGAGCGTGCATGCAGCACAGCCGATGCAAACCTGTTTGCTAGAGTCAGGTTTCAGTTTGTTGTAATAAAATACTCACGTTAGTGAAATTTCAGCATGTAGGTGATTTCGAGGGTGGGAAAAGATTTAGAAATGGAGCCTTTGATTTTAGTTTGGCACAGCTGAAGTCTGCTGCAAGCCACAGAGAGGTGGTTGATTTCTGCTACTAAGGGCTGGACGGATGATTGTTTCCAGTGTAACGTTTGTCAAATCTCACTGTGCACGTAAACATGGCAGCTTGTTAACAGTTACAGGGTCGTTCCATCTCAAATCATTCGTTTTCTTCAGTTTACATAAAAATGTTACGTCCAGCGTTTGGACGTATATAAGGTCAAACACTCTTCTGTCAGCATCCAGTTTCCTGTTACGTGTACTATATTTAAATTTCACAATGTCGAACATGTTTTAAAATGAAATTCTTCATCAGAAAAATGAAGAAAAACTACATTGACATTACAGTTTCCTAATCATAATAGTTTAATTATAGAAAATGACTTTGTTAATAATTTCATATATACAGCAACATGAAAACAACATGTGTACCATGTTCTGCAGAGATCAATGCTTTCATTCAAAGTTCTGCTGCAGATGCAAATGTTAATGTTTAAAGCTCAAACAGTATCTTTGTCATCAGGTAAACAATTATAGGAAAAACAGACAGAAACCAGAAAGAAGCTTGAGATCCTCTGCAAAGGTTTTAAAGCCTTCTTTCATTTCAGTTTAGACTGAAAGCAGCTTCAGCAGAGTCAGTTACAGCAGGAAGGAGACGGCTGAACAAATGAATCCATTTGGCTTCCATTAGCAAACCACTTTCACCCTTAACCTGCCTTCAATTTGTCTCCTGTGCCATTCGTGTAGACGGCAAACACAGACATCAATAAAATCCTGCATTCAAAGAAAGAGAAGACGGCGTGTGGAGCAAACTAAGGCATCCAAGGAGCTGCTCACATGTTGTTTTTCATGTACTGGGTCTGCTATTTCCCCCTCTTTACCTCATCTGAGGTCTCTGGAGTGCAGGGACACAGCATGGTCCCTGTCCAGCAGGCTGCTTTCTGAAAAACACACTTTTACACATACAGTAGAACTCACAATATACAAGAAGACAGTGAGAACAGGGGCCATGGCTCAGGTTTCAAGTCTCGGAGCACTGATCGATCACTCTGTTCTACAGTAAAACCTCGGTTAACATGTCAGGATAAAACGCAAATGTAACTGGGGGACAATCTTTTTCGCCTTGTTTGGCATTTGCATCACTCGTTAACGGCTTGATTTTACGCGCACCGCTGTGTTTGCTGCGTCCATGCGGTGCTATGGTGAGAAACAAAGAGCACATACAGTAATGATGGAACATAAAGTGTAACTGCAAGCCTGCAACATAACAAGAGGAAGCAAAACTAGATGGAAGCAACAGTTTTTAACATGACCGGGGACGGCTCGCTGTTGGAGCCTCCAATGGACATTAAAGGGACGGCAGTGTGCTGTTGGAGTTAAGCCAATATAAATATATATACAAGCATCTGTATAGGCTGGT